TTTATTAAATTAAAATACTGCATAAAATAAATTTATAAAAAAAGCTATTGAATGAAAATTTTCTGTTAACATATTTCAGAGCCATGTGTAAGGAGTAACAGATTAATTATTTCTAATATTATTAGGTAATTTTCTTATAAAGGAACTTAAAAAATAAAAACAAACAAAAGCTTCTTTAGAGAAATTATTCTACTATTAAAAACCATATACTACTGGAATTAACATCCCACGTTATCCAAAATTAAATAAATGCATTTTTTAAGTGATAAATCAAGTTGTGCAGAAATATTAAGTATGAATATATTCATCTTAATTATTTAAAAAACTGAATGTGAAGATGGGAAAAATTAAGAGAAAAAAGCTTTGTAGATTATTTGCTAGAAATCTGACATTCTGAAAACTGAATACACACACACTCATATTTCTATGCATAAAACACACACATATTGATAGATATAATTCACATATGATTAATTATATATTGAAAATATATGTATGTGAGCATGCGAGTGTATACACACTCACGCATATAGTGAGAAATTTTGTAATGTTTGAGACATAAATTTATATTCCTTCTGGAACAGTAAGGAAATAATACTTTAAAGGAAAATTTAAAAAATAGTGTCACTAGAACAGATTTACGTTGCAAAGTAAAAATGTTTTTCATTCAATCAACGCACTTCCTAACGCCGAATAACAGAATGTAAACAAACGTCAGAAATGTGACACACTCATGTGGGCGGAGTTAATGGTGATCCTTATCTGGTTTTGTCATTGGCCAAACTTAAGCCGTTGTTCTAGCAGTGTACATTTTGCTTATATGCAAACGGGGGGTTCAACAACAGAAGGCGAAGTGCGGTGCAAGTCGGCAAGCGGATTGCAGATGAGCCTGCACGCGGAGGCTCAGATAACAGATAAGGAAGAGTGTTTTATAATTCCTTAATTTAGTTGATAAGATAACGTCACAATTTGATAGGAAATTATCTTTTATTGATTTTCTGGAAGTAATTACTTTTGTTAATCAGTTTTTAAGCCTTTGTATTTTTCTTCCTATTCCAGTTATTTTACTATGTATATAATGATTAATTTTTATGTACGTTATATGTATGTAATGTTTATAGTAAACAAGACTTTATTTCCATAATCGCTTCTTTAGCAATTTAAGCTATTACAACTACCCCATCTGTTTAACCTGTAGAGTCATTAGGTTATTTTTGGAAGCAGCAGATGTAAAAACTGAGCAATGCCCTCGCCGGGAGTCGAATCACGGTCCTCTCGAATTCGCGTCGAGCGTGCTGACCACTACACCTCAAAGGCATGCTAAGAAGGCGGGAAAAATATCTTATAAACCTTAAATGATTCATTCTGGTAAGGTTCGATATATTGCCATAGTCTCCCACCCCAGGGGTCGACGTAGAGAACTCTGCGAAGCTACTGGGTAGGATCTGCACCTAGGCAATCTCGGCCACGGGGGTATAAAATCACGAACCTGGCAGTTTCAGAACCACATTGGGTGGGTCGTTTATACGGTCTGACCTCGGAGGATTGGCGTAAGTCGTAGAACTGATGGTTCTATAGCTTGGTGATGGACGGCACCGAGTTTGCTAGGTAATGTGCTGATGTGGTGCGCTGCCCGCGTAGTACTGGCGAGAGCATTTAAACGACTAAGTCTAATCTTCAAGTCGATATTTGCTCGGCCACGGCCAAACCTGAGAGCCGGGAGTGGTGACCCGCGCGCCCAGGCGTAACCGTGGTTCATGAGGAAACTTTTAAAGTCTGCCACTTCGGATTGGGGCCCCGGGGTGGTAGCAAGGTGAACTGCGCTCCTGTGGGAAATTTTGACTGCGATCCTTCCCCTGCATGATATGGGGGTGTACAGAAGGGTCCAATCAGTGTAATACCATTGGTAGGTGACGCACGTATCTAATAATAATTATTATATTGTCATAGTCATGTGAAACATGATGTTATCGGTATAGATAAGGCGATACCGATTAAAAGAATGAAATCGTAACGATACGAATGTTCCTTATTTATCAGTAAATGAGTATATAAATAAGATACTTAAAAACATCCGACCTCAGCAGATTTCTCATTTCGTTGTATATATTAGAGGATTGTACTTCGAAGCAGCTATACTTAACAGTTACAATCAGGGCCAGATATGCGTATAAGGTACATAAGCTATAGCTTAGGGCCCTCACTTTCTTGGGGGCCCCCAAAATTAAAATAAAGTATAAATACTATTGAAATATACTATAACAGACTTATAAAGGACCCCATATCTCAAATAGCTTAGGGCCTTATCAAGTCAAAATCTGGCTCTGTCTACAATACTCACCAAGCCTGAAATATTTGATGATCAGTTAATGTTGTCGTATTTTAAAGATTTTCATGACAAAGAAAAGGCAGATACCATCTTTACGGAAATATGCACTTATCCTTTCCAGCCCTTGAAACTGAAACTGTACGGGAGTCAATATACAAGTACATTCTATTCTATTTTGCTGCGCCTAAGGGGATGAAGATGGACTCACCTACAGTTTTACGGAGATACAGGTCGCCGCCTAGCTCTGGACTTCTATGCTGCAGCAAATTAAAAGTGAAGTGGAAACACTCACCCCAAAAAATATAATTACGTTCTGCTCAACAAATACTCTGACGGAGATGTCAAGATCTCCGCGCACAGAGACGACGAAAGCTCCCTGGACCTTTCATGCTGCATTCCCACACTGAGTTACGGTGCCACGTGGTTGATGGATTTTTACGAGAGAAAATTATTTGACTCACATTCTGAGTCTGGAACACGGATGGCTTCTAGTGATCGAACTCTCTACACATGTATTCCGGGAACACGTATCCCTTTCCAGCCCGAAGTGAAGACTATTCGAATAAGTTTGACGTTTAGAAAAATTATACCACCGCAAGTGAATTGTTCGTCTGATGAATTGACTTCGGTTATTAACGACGACATCATTAATTCTATAACTCCAAAACGATGAATGAATAAAAGGACTGCACAAGAAAACATGTTTAGAAGATACTCGAGATACCCCAGGACGATTGGCTGACTCGGTATTATCAGTCATCACGAAATCATGGTGAAGTGATCAATTGTTGGTAATTGGAACGGACGTGTCGTCTTTCTGTCGTTGTGAGTCAAAATAATAACGTTTGAATTAATATACAGAACTTTACAGAAAAGAATAATTTCAACTGCATTTTTTCTCTTGAGGGTGTGACTTTGACACCTGCGATGTGATATGTTTTCATGAGCAAATTACCAAACTTAGTATTCGGAAGCCAACAATCAACTTCCTAGCCAACATCTATTGGCAGTATTTTGCGCAAACCCACAATGTGTTTTTCAACAAACATTTTAAAGCCTCTGTGATGGTTTCCACCTCGTGTCAGATCATTTTGAATTGAATCATTGAATTGATCATTTGAGAACATATCAGACCGATAAACTTTTAGGTTTATGTATTGAAATAACGCAGACTATCCAAATTGCTCTATTTCAAAATGTGTAACCGGAAGGAATAAGAAAACGGCGATCAAAATGCCAGTAGATGAAACAATTAACTAGCGAGCAACGTATGCAGAAAATTAACAACGTTATTTACGAGGAGTATTTAACCAGTCTCCATTAGGTATTTGTCTGTGAGGGATGTTCAATTAATCATCCAAGTCAGCGCCGCCACCCCTCTATAAGGAAGACGACTCGAGAAAAAGGTATTAATAATACTGACAAATCAATATTTTCAATGAACTTTAAAAGACTTGCCCAGAAACTTTATGTAGACACCTGCAGTTGTATATATGACAATGATGACTGTTTATTCGAATGGCGCGAAATCGAAAGAGTAGTTTCGCCTCGAAAGAACATTAGTAAATTCAACTACTCTCAGTTTATTCAAATCAAACTGTAAACACATAATAATGAAATATCCATAAGTGAATATCTAGTAATAATCCAATAACACAGTTAAGTTTTAAAATAAGTGTTAGAACTGTTTTAGGTCAGCTACATTCTATCGACCGAATTCTACCGACGACAAATCCAAAGCGTGTTGCCAACGCACGGCAATGAAAAAGTGTAAATTAATTCGAGACGCTTGGAAGGAAACGTTCTCCCACTCTATCAGGTTCAGTCCTGATACAAAGGCTAAAGTAAAAGTTTATTTGCTGGCTTTTTGAAGAAGGCTATGGAAGGGCATCTATCTTTATTTAGTATCAAGAGATTTAGCCTACTGAAGAATTAAAACATTGTGAAGTCCCTTAACGCTATGAATAAATTGAAAAATTTTAAAATGTATTTTATGAATGGGAAAAGTTATTATAGAACGTACTGATTCTAAACGAGATGAAACTGATACAGAAAAGTCGTGTCAACATTATTTGTCGAACAATTTTCATATAAAACAACTCAAGTATGACCGGTTTTCGATGGCTCTGCGAAAACTAGAAACAGTATATCATTGAATGGACGCTTAAAAAAGGATAATCTATAATATCTTAGAACGCTTAAAATGATAATCTATAATGCTTATTCAATGAATTCAAACAGTATCATGTAATTTCACATGTAGTAATTATGCAAGGATAGGCGAAATTTGGGATTTTTTAAGGGAGGGGCTTAACATACTTTTAAATCTTCAAAGATGCACCCATTCGATGTTGGATAAATCATTTTGAATGATCTTATGTAATTCTTGTCCTCTTGAGTAAATACAATGTTTATATACGTTATGCATTATATGCAACAGATTTCATTTTTAAAACGATTATTTTCTCAAAGTTTGTCTAATGTAATGTAATAATGTACATAAAAGAATCAAAAATTATGTATTTGACTTCTTTATATCTAATTGAGAGTAAAAGAAAATAATTATATTTATATATCATTTTATCAGAGTCATTTGTCAATTTATTTCTCTTTTCCAATCTGAATTTAAATACATATGCCTTCAACTTATCTTGCTCTTAACTTATCTTAGATATAAGGTTGGATTCTGGGAGCTTTTCAAATGGGCTTTTGTGCAGTATGTGGCTATCTTTGCAATATTTGCATATGTATTTCATCGATTAAAAGGCTATGTATTTCAGAAACACTTGTTACCATCTATTATCATACATCCACTGAAACGAGACTTGTGATATAAAATATAACATCCTGTCAGCCTGTAATGCAATTTTTATATCTTTAGTTTTATATTTGTAATAAAAATTAATTTTATAATGTAAAAATGTATTTTTCCGAGCCTTATTTCTGTATCTGTATTTATGCATATGTTTGAAATAAAAATATAATTTATGGTATAAAAGTTATATATTATGCCCAGACATACCTTACTTCTAAATAATATGCGTTCAATAAAAATGCAGCGTAGACTGCTACATTTTTATTATAAACTTTTAGGAAATTGTTTGAATAAAGTCATTCAGTATTACATTTTTGGCATTTGATTTAAGTTGTGTACTCGATAAGTCCAGATGTCTATTCAAATTTTATAGCAGGCAGCTTAAGTTCGAAGAAAATTATAACTGATATGGTTCTTCTTTTGTAAGTTTGGCCACCGGTGCTACTCTTTGCCTAGATAGCAGTTCATCCAAGTAGAAGTGCGTGCCTGGCATTGTCGTGTTTGGTAAATGTTTAAAGTGCAACGGTGAAGTCGTGCTTTTCTTTCCAACCCCATTTAGTGTTGTAGTTTTGCGTAGCATCCCAGCCACAGCTTATACTGTAACATAACCTTACAGACTCCGGTAGTTTATTTATTTTCGAGATAAATTGTAATTGTAACCGGAGTGCACTCCCTTTATGTAACTGAACCACAATTTCAGCAGAAAATGTTTTTGATCTCAAAAATTTTATTTTAGTAATAAGTAAGCCTTAAAAGACATTTCTAATTTTTTTTATCCATGCCTGTCTTTCCCAGGAAAACAAACCTTTGAACGGAGGTTGAGGCTTTTAAGGGAAAAAATCACCAGCCTTATATCAAATACGTATTTCCAGGTAGTGGAATGAATTTCTAAGAGCGGGTAAACTTTTCGTTCCTGGAAGTTCTAGAAATGATCACCCTAGTCGTGCACAGTCCAACGTCAGTGATTTTCGATGAAAAAGAGCATCTGCGGACTTTTTTGCGCGATATAACCAAATACGGGGATGAAAATTGTCATTTGTACAGGATCTTAAGCTTGTTCTCTTTTTGCAGATCAATCTTCAGATTCGAAGAAAATTTCTTTCCCTTTCTGCTTGACAGCTCTACTTATGTCGGTGGGAAATCGTTGGTCAGAAAGTGTTGCACTCTTCTCTCTTTGTCTTCGTACCAACACGTCTCCTTTAAAATTCCTTGCATACTCAATGTTTCTAGAGTATATTCTGTGTATTTTCGTTAGTGCCACTTTAACCATTTTTCCTTTTTTATATTACTGTGTATCAGGGATGGTCTTTGTTTCTATCATTCTTTGAAATAGTATATTATGCTGCATAGTCAACGATTAAATTCAGCCCGGACCCGACTTCACTATTTCTTAGTTTTTGAGTGAAATTTTAATTCCAGCTGGAGCCCCAAATAAGATGGATCCAGTATTTTATTTTATTTTGAGATTCAGTATTTTATTACTTAACTGCTTATTAATAATTTAATTTGTTAAATTTTTGTGTATACTTTTACATTTTACTGAATTTTAATTATAATTATTATTAATATAAAACATATTATCCTGCCAGCCTATATGCCATTTTTGTATCATTAATTTTATGTTTATAATAAAAATTAATTTTATAATGTAAGAATTGTATTTTGTGAAACCTTATTTCTGTGTCTCCCCGGTCTTATTTCTATTTTATTAGGATTTTATTTATTAATTTTTGTTCCGCTTTTCTAACGACCTACTGGCATCTTAATGGGCCTTGAACCCAGCAAATATCTTCTAGATTTCCAGCGAGTAGCTGTCAGCAAGAAATTAAATAACTTGTTTTTTGTATTATTTAAGTATACAACCTCAAGTTGTGAAGAATAAAATTTGATGTTAATCCTTACATTGTGAGCTATTGGATAAGTACTTTTCCAAAATTTCATTTAAATGAGCTGCATTTATTCGCGGACAAATATTTAATGCTCTGATATCCCTCAATTCAGTATATCTTAAGCAAAATCATGTTTTAATTCAGAGCGCAGCGGACACTAGATAACTTTAAGTGAAGTATATGGATGCGTGAATCCAAAATGACAATGAAAAATCAGCGTAACTTATTAATTCAGCACAACTCATGCAATTCAGCATAATTTATTCAACTTGTTCAATGTAGTGCAACTTATACAAGAGGATGTTTGACATTCAGAGAGCAGAGAGAAATGCATAATTTTAGTGAAATATGTATATAGCAAATTCTAACTGATAATGAACAGCAACAATTTAAAATAGTGTTTTTGTTTGAGAATCTGAAAATAAATGCAAATTTCAACTGGTTTATTTATTTTAAAAGGAATTATGAAGCAAGGAAAATCAGTGATTTGAGAATAATAAAATTTTCAATATCCAGTATATGTTTGTAAGCAGGAAGTTTTAGTTTTATAGTGAGTTAAAAGAGTCCTTTTCGTTCTGATTTAATCATGTGATCTTTGCTACATTTAGCTTTTCTCTTAGTAGTGAGTGAAAGATGATTTTGAAATCGGATATATTATTGGTATCTGAATGACAGTGAATGCATTTTCAACTACACGCTCTGAAATGTATACTTATGTTAGAGGAATACGCAGAGTTTTTTTCAATTCTTTCTAAGACAAAAAATTTTGTTACTTTTTTTTTTGTATAGTTTGGTCTTTAAAATTCAACGTCCTTAGTTTACAAAAGCAAAAACTTGATCTATTAATGAGACCAATAAAGGACTTAAATCTGGCAAAAATTTTGTATATGGAAGTCCCACCCTTCCTGACAAATTGCTAAAAGCGTTGCTTGAATTTTGGAACATTTAACGTGTTTATAATAGAACTTAAGTATTTATACAATGGAAACATATTTATTGTAATCTAATAATATTACACAAATACCTCATTATTTTTATTTTGCCTGCACATGTTATCAGGTCTCTAAGTTAAAAATATCAAAAGGAAGTGCTAAAGTTTTTTTTAGTTTGCTAAAGTTTTGAAAATTTAAAAACCGATAGTTCTGCATTGCCTGTTTTGCACGGTATTTATGTGTAGTTTTCAAGCCTTATTTTCTATGAATTTGAAGAAAAACGTTTATTCTGTTCCTTAAGCAGTATCGATTCAAAGGGAATACAAGTGCTATAAATCTCACACTTAAAGGAAAACGACGGTTAGTTTAATTTTAGTTCGGTGCTTTCCTCCCTTGAGGGTTCAGTAGAAGTTTGAGAAACGCTCTCAGCGTCGAGATATATGTTAATGTATGATATATGATAGATTCAGTCATATATCGGCAAATATCTATTAGTCTGATCGTTTGAGGAGAGAACAGGGCAATAAATTGCCTATCAGAAATGTGGAGTTATTGTAAGATATCTTTGTAGACATTGATCTACAAGGGCCTTAATAGAATAAAAATGAGATGCGAAATAGGTATGTACATTTTATTTAAAAAAAAAGACGTTTAAAACACAGATTTTCTACTTGAAATATTTCATTTTTCTTTGAGAAGCCATTACAAACCATTAGAATTAAGGTCTTCAAAAACAATTCTCTTATACCTTCAGAGAACACACGCATATTCCAGCATCATTAATGGGACCTACATTACCCATAGGGAATTTTTTCCATTCTGTTCTAGGTGCATAAGCATCACCTTTAAAAGGCTAGCGTACTTCTCCAGGACGCTGCAAACAGAATATTTAGACTTGCACTACAAAATTATAGCTGTTTTATAATACTTAACGCACATAGTGTATGCCAAACCCCCAGACGCTGTTTAGCATAATTTAATAATAAGTATAATTTTATAAATATCCGTATACAAGCTGCTCATGAACAGTTTAATTTGGTTTACTGATTACGTAAAAGCACGCGAGTGATATCTACCTTAGAGAACGTGGCTTGTATTTTACGTTACACATAAGGAAGATCAGAAAGAGTCAAGTGTGGCCGAGCTCTTAATTTTTCTCTCTGAAACTTAATTTAAGAAGAACTACAACTGACTTATATAGCCAATGGGCATGAAAACAAATAATAATGTTGTATGGTGTTTCTTCATGAGTCATAATTTTTCAAGTTGATTTCGTTTTCAGGAAACAGGTTGGGAGGGCATTAGAATTTCAAATCAAAACTTCAAGATTTCACAGAACATAGAAATAACATTTATTAACGATAAACTTAAATGATATAGTATATCTTCCGCCTATAGCGGCCATGAAAACATAATCAAGCATCAAAAAGTATGACATGCGTCATTCTTCAAGTTCAAGCGTCAAGTGGAATATATTTCATCGGCGCCCATCAAGAGCGCCACCTATCTACCGAAAAGACGGAACAAATAAATTTAAGGAATTAGATACTCTCAAGCTACTGTTGCTGCTTAGTAACTTAATTCCGCAACAATGGTCATATGTACCATATACAGAAGATCTCGGAACATTTTATCTTGTACAAAAAAGGTGTGAGAGAAATCTAATTGTGATAGACAGAAGAGTGTACCATTATCAAACTCTACCGAAATACACGGGCCACTAACTAGAGAATGAGAAGGCCGTTGGACCCATGAGGCTGTCTTGTTCAGAAACAGAATAATTGTATCTATAGCTATAGTAAGATAAAAAGTTGATATTTACATTAGATTCATTTGCCACGAAAGTAATACATTTCATCTTCTTTTCTTTTATGATTTCACTTTCATCAAGAGTCGTCTCTTTTTTCGGCCAATTCCTTTCATCAAGTCGTAACCAAATGGGGTTCCTCCCACCATCTGAAAAGGAGCTTTACTTCTGAACATCCTCTTGAAGTTAAATGTGCCGAATTACATGTTCGGGAGTGTATTTTCAGCTTTGCACTCTTGTTGATCTACGATTTTCATCAACCATACTTCGTAAAAATACTCCCCAGGTATCATCTTCCATTACCCAGCGTCAAACTGTGGTTGAATCTATCCAGAAATACTCGATGGTGTTTTAAAGCCTGAGGCTCGTTTTCACAAATTCATCCAAGCCTGAGCCGAAACAGCAAGAGAAAAATAGATATTTCTTGCAAAAGCGCAACTCTCGATTTTGACATCAATAATTGTGCAGAAACCCTTTGGGAATGACACCTTAAGTAAACAACAGCAGCATAACAAATCCCTCGGGCATTCGGAAAGGTGTGTAGACTCAC